AGAGAGAGAGAGAGAGAGAGAGAGAGAGAGAGAGAGAGAGAGAAAGAGAGAGAGAGAGAGAGAGAGAGAGACAGAGATTTTCAGATATTCTTCATAGCAGGTCTCCAGTCTTCTAAAAGGAGAAGCTACTTTTAAATGCCTGAAGCTCAATCTTGAGATCGTTTCTCCATTTCTGTCTGTCTATCTCTCTTTGTATCTCTCTTGTAGTAGGGAAACTGAATGCTGAAATCTTGTCAAGTTTTATGTAGATACTATAACATCTGTTGCTTCACACAACATTATCCAATTGGAAATTTTTATAAGCCACAGGGAGGAAGACATAGTGACAGATTTCTGTGATTCACCATTTTGTGTCCAACTAGACCACAGAGAGATTCCCATTCTTTTCTATATAAAGATAGGATCCAGCAAGTGTCAGTAGAAAACTGTAATATTTCATCTCCAGTAATTAGGATTATATCCAAGTAAAAGATACAGCCTACAGTCAAGTGAGGTCAGAATCATGCAATTAAATTAGCTTTCAGAATAATAGCTCATGGAGACTTAAAATCTATTCATTTTAAAGGTAACCAACTCAGAGGTCCAAAGTTAAAAGCTTCACATTATTAATATTCCTATTATGTGATATTTATGTTATGTACTTTGCATATTTTATTTATTCACTTTATATTAGTGATGCATATATTTTTATAAGTACTTGTCTCCCCCATCAGAATGTAATCTCACGGTGAGTAGGGGTCATTTCATTCATTGTATTTGTATCCAAAGTGCCTGAACATAATATTCACGATAATAAATTCTTTGCTGATTGATTAACATGATGATATTAAAATATAAAATGAGACAAACTTCATTTTTTAATTTCATTATGCTTTTTTTTTTTTTACAAAAAGGAAAACCAACTTAGACACAACAATTTCAAATGCTTCCGTTAACCATAAACTCAGGAAAAATTCACTGAATCCTTTGCAGAAATTTATAAACATGTATCAGGTTTTTTTTTTGCTGATTCTTGGAAAAGGATTGACTGAGTTCTTTGCAACAAAATGATCATATACTTGGGGAACTCTTCTTATTCTTCACATTTTATTTTAAACTCCCAATTCCACACACAATGTATATATTACTAGTTCAGGGTTTTAAAGAGCAAGATGAGAGAAACAGCTCTCCAAAAAAGTTTTTATAGACTCCTCCAATTTGTCTAACCTTTGCTTTTCAAAATAGTCACCACCTAAAAAGCATCAATAATGAATATTGACCTAAATAGGGTGTGTTAAAAGGAATATAAGAAGTTTTATAATGCAAAACTACATGTCCTCTCATACAAGTGTTCACTTCAGAGATGAAATATTTTAGCACTAAATGCATTGACCTTGTAGAACTCATAATGTTTGAAGAGTGATTTGCAAAACACAAAGGGGGAAAAAGCACCAGTTGATTTAGTTGTTGGGATTTTGATACCCTTCCTTGAAAGGATTTGTTTTCTTTTTTATAAAATTTACTTCAGAATAAGAATCCAAAAAGGATGCGTTTCAAATGTACAAAAGCAAATCTCCATGCCCTAAAGATCCAATTTGGAGAGCTTCTGATCTGCATTGCCCAGAAAGTTCAATAATAAGAAGTTAACTTTTGATCTTAAGTGATGAAGGGAGCCTCCTGCTATGCTGAATGATGAGGCATGAAGTTTTTTCAGAGAAGGCCTTCATAGATATCTTTAGAAGCCTCAGCAGGTTCCAACTCTCTTGACTGGAAGGGCAGTATTTTAAGTGTGGTGAGTAAATCAAGTCCTGATTCCATATTTCTGGCATAAATCCTCATTAGGAAAACTTAACAGTCAGTTCTCATAAGATATTTGAATCAGACTCCAACACACCCTTGTGTGTAACCTTGGGTAAGTCATTTAACCTCTCCAATTTGTACGAAATTCTCCAATACTGTAGAGTTGAAGTTGAAGTGCTGACCTGCATTAGAAAAGGAAGTTTCTTCATCTAGGTTTTCTCTCTTCCATTGACATCACAGGTCCAGTCCCCATATCATCCAAGAAAGTTTACTGTCATCTATAAACTGTAAGATGTCACTCTACTTAATCCCTCTTCTAGATTTTTTTACAAATGTTCGAGGTAAAGTCAGCCTA